TTGAATACAATCAAGAACAAACAGCTCTACAAGTATAAGTACTTTGATATGTTCAAATATGAGAGATGTGAGGATGGTATACTAACTCTTTCCACCCCAACTGGCTCGTATGCTCGAGAAAATTGAGGTTTCGATCTAAATTCATGAACGTATAAAGAAGATCTGCGACGTAAAGCGAACGGAATTTGAATCAAAATGGATTAAGATGAACAAATTCATGAGTTAAATGACAAGGAACGAACCATCTTGAGTGACAAGAGGATAATCAGAAGCACTGAGGTTGATAAACCAATCCCAATCCTTACTCCTCTTAAGAAGAATGGCACAAGCATGGAGAGTATTAGCAACCATGGTAGGTCCTCTGTAAGTAACCATATTGGCTTTGCTGATCATGAAAACATTATTAACTTCAACAAAAAGCGACTCGTTTCCGACTCGGAATGCCAATTCCAATCGCTCCTCTACAGGTGATTCGAGATCCAAATGAACAACATAATGATTCAAAGGGTGATATAATGCTTTAAGAATTCTCCATAGCTTTTCCAAATCGCCTTTCGACCCGGAAATCAAATAAGCAAAACGAGGGATGGTTGGTCCAGCCGGAGGTGGAGGTTGAACAAACTTCGTTTCAGCAAAAACACCACTCGTGTAGTTCATAGTCATTCGAGCGGGAAAGATAGCAAAAAACGAATTGATCGTGTAAAGCGAAGAGACGAGACCCATGTTGAAGAAGGTAACAAGAAGAAAAATGCATATCAAAGAGCTTATCACAAGAGGAAACATCCATTTCCTCTCCAAGTTCAAGGACCCCATCACAAGATCTTATCATGGATTGATATCAACTCCAGTTTCAATTGATATCAACGCCAATTTTCCCAATATTTTGATAGCAACAAGGCAACCAAAAGACAACCAAATGGCAACCTCAAGCAGTCCAAATTCGGAGAAGGCCCTAAACAAATGCAACAAATCAATAAATTATACTTCACACCAGGTTGATGAATACCAACAAATCAACATTTTATATTAATGTTCAATGAACAATCACCTCAAGCTTCGCGTGAACTACTAGCTCAAGTAGTTTAAAGGTTAAAAAGAACACGACCCAAAATTCTAAACCAAAACTTTGATATCAATGATGAACAGCCAAACCAAATCCAATGACGATATTGAAACGAAATAGATAATTAGGCAGAAACCCTAGTCTATATACATTCCAAATCAGGCAAGACATAGCCGATGAAGATTGATTAACAACATTTTTCATTACAGGGGAAGCCATGGAACAGTCCAAGAACAACAAAATGCCATGAAAATCGAGCAAAACAAGAGCAACCCAGATGAACAGATCCTCAAATCATTAAACAGAAACCAAAACTAGAGGGAAAAACATCAAAGAAATTCAAGAAACCCATTAAAAAAACAACCAAAACGAAGAGTAAATCAAAGAAACAAACGATTTCACGAATACCCACAAGGGAATAATCGCAGGGGAAGATGAAACAGCAATACCCAGAAGACAAAAACACCAAAAAACAGAATCACAGCACAAGAAACGAAATGGGGGGAAAGGGAATACGTAGAACACAAGGAAGAAACGCAAGAAGAATGAAGAGAGAGAGAGAAGAAACCTGGGGGGGTTGTTGTTGTTGATGTTTGAATGGCGTTGGTTCAAGGCGAAAACAAATAAAAACAAGGAATAGAAATCGGAGAGAATTGAAAGGAAATGGGGAAGAGCTTTTTTGGGCAAAAGGGGAAGGAGGAGGACAAGTGTTTATATGAAGAAATGGATGAAAAACCTGTTCGGATTTCTTCGGCCAAGTTTGTGACCTTCCCTTTGTTTAAGCCTATTTGCCATTTGTTTCCCCCCATTCCTCGCGTTCATGTGAAATTCAACGTATCTCATAAGCATCCCTTCATTTCAATTTTCAAACCATCCCGGAATCTTGTGGACTGTCTCAAAGTTTTTTCCCTTTTTCCATTTTTTTTTCATCTTTCAACTCTCATGTGTCAAGAACCACAAATTTAGGTTAAAAATATAATTTCAATCTCGTTTGGTGGTCGATTAACGCGAATTCAACTACTCTAGACATGTACAAATGGAGATTTGAATCCCGGACTTCATTGTTTTTTAACTAAAACAATGCACATATATGTTATTAGAGATCAAATATCCATTCCTTTAGCTATATATATGATTGACCTAAGAGGTCAGATGTATATATATATATAAAAGAAAATCAATTTTAAAAAAATTGAAGATTTAATAATTAAGATAGATTTAAAACAATAAAAGACAAATAAAAATTATGATAGTAATAATTGAATGTGGAGTTTATTCGTTTTTGGCCGTTAAAATTATATTTGGTTGGAAAATAAATAATTAAAAATTTAATTATAAAAATATATATATATATAATTATATTGCAAGTAAAAATGTATATTTTAAAATTAACAATATAATTAAATTGACATAAAATTTTTATTTATCTTAACTCAACTTAAATCGTACGAGTTGGGTTGGTTAAATTTTTCGAATTATGAGGTTTATTTTAATCCATTTGCCATCGTATCTATAATTATTATTAAATGTCATCGTAATCAAAACTAATAAACAAAAATAAAATGTTATTTTATATATATTTTTTATTTTGGTTCGGTGTACTTCGAATTAAATCTTAGAATATACATCAAAATTAACATTTATTTAATCAAATAAACATTAATTTGGAACTAAGCGATACAAATAATTAATACATATGGAAACTACACGAGACTATTTAAACAAAAAAAAATATTTTGGTCAAATAATAAATATTGAATGAAATTAAATATTATTTGAAAATAAAAATATGGAAATTGTATCATTCAAATTCAATGGCATAGTCTATTCAAAGTTTTGATTTTTAAGCATCCAATTTTATTTTTATTAATTAAATATCATAAATGTTTTATTTTATTGTAGAAATTTGATTTCCCATATGAATTTTATAATTAATTTTTATTATTTTAATCATTAGCCATGTGCTTTACATCGTTTTTATTATAAATATTTTAGATTATTTTTTAAGCAAAATAAGTCAAATTTTATTTTGCTAAAAAAGAAAAAAAAAAGATTGAATGATGCTAAAATTAGTTAAAATTTTAAAATATAATGATAATTGGAATGAATAAATAAATAAGGAACGAATTGAAAATTTGTCAAAAACATTATTTTATATATATATATATATATAATGTTTAATTTGGTTTCTAATAATGACGTCATCAAAATTGAATAAAGTGACCTTTAATAAATAAAATTGAATTGTGTTAAGAATGAGAAATAAAATTGGGATCGAAGTCATTGATATTCAGGATACAAACTATATTTAATACCTACCAATAAAGAAAATATAAATTAATTAAATATTGAAAATAAAATAAAATATTTACAAATCAAATCATAAAAATAATATTTTAAATATATATTCATAATTAATATATTATCCAAATATTATAGGTAATTAAGTCCGTTTAAAATACCCCATTTTCCTTTCTTTTAATATTTAATTTCAACTACGTTTGGCTGCGATTTATTTTTTTTATTTTTTTAAAGGCGCTTGGCTGCGTTTTCTTAAAGCATCCCAAAAATTGGATAAAGTCCACTTAATAAATTATTATTATTATTTTTGGCTACTTTTAAAGAAATAACAAAACCTTAATTCTCAATTATTGATTGACCTTGTTGGATCGATCATATAACCTTTCGGGGTCGGTTGTGGCCGACCAATGAAAATTTGTCTTAAGGGTATCGTGGTTATTGGTTTCTCAAGTTCGAATGATGTTCATATATGGTTTTTAGTCCATGGGTTTTTATAAGGTATGTCGAGTTTAGAGTCAAGAGTACATTCTCCCATATTGATTTATTCTTGATCGAGATCCACATCTAGTTAGGCTCTGATTGACACATATGGGTCGGTTTACACAATCTTACTTAGTCCATTTTGGGTTAGCTTGTATACAACTATGCCAACCTACATAAGTCGGCCTCCTCTATCTTGGTCGGCTTATACAACTCAACCTAATTTTTTTATTTTACTACTCTAAGTCGCGTTGTTTTAAGATATTCATCTAGTAGACCCCGGTCTCTAGAACTCTTCGTTGACTCTCGAATTGAACTACTCAACCGCCTGACTTCTCTAGGAATAATTTTTAGGGTGATTAACCAATATATATATATATATATATAAATAAAAGTATTAAAAATCTTTTTTTTTTTGTAAAAAAGTGTTTTCAAATTCTTAAAATTCACTTTTAATACCAAATAGCGCCCATGGCCTAATGGATAAGGCGTCTGACTTCTAATCAGGCGATTGTGGGTTCGAATCCCCCTGGGTGTGTCTATATAAATAAAATTATTTGATTAATTTTTGTAATATTGGAAATTTTTATTATTGAAAAACATTTGTCGAACTTTAAAGGGCTAAAAACATGACGTGGAGCCTTACAAGCCGTGAGATATAAAGTGGGACGCACGTGACTATTTCAAAAGTTGGGCCCCGCAGAATTTAAATGGCCCCAATTTTACCGGTCAGCTGACCGAGTTTAATGCTTTTTTGTTTTCTTATTTATTTATTTATTTAAATTAAGGTAATTAGATTTAAAGTTCCAACATTTATCGACCATTTATGACTTAATTACCCTTTTTAGTTATAAGTTAATAGGTCTTGATAATTTAATTTTTAATTTTTAGGTGATTTTTAAAAGAACTAAAATCTAAAATTAATAAAATTTAAAAAAAAATGCAATTAATAGATACTTGTTGATGGGCTTTACTATCAAATGGGCTCAATTGATGTGCATTCGTTTTGGAGCCCATGGGCCTGTAAGCATATTGGGTGCTATAGAAAGATAATTGACCCATTGCAAGAAAAATAATAATAAAATAATAAAAAATTGTATAATTGAGGATTTTCTTTTAATTGAGAAATAATAAATGTAAAATTATATATTGGAAAATCTGCCGCCGGTGTTCAGGACGATACGCACTAACCATGGCGGCAGCGACTGCGAGCATTGGAGCTCTGTGGAGCCTAAGAAGAGCAGCTCGATCTTCCAGTTTCCGAACTCCCCTTGCCGTTAATCTCGGCAAGGTCTCATTCCACGAGGCCCGGTTTCCCTCTTCTCCATCTTCTCCTCTTGGCGCCTCAGGTTTCGATTCGCTTCTTATCTATTGATTGTTCTTAGAGAAAAGTGTGAATTAGTATTGTTTAGTGAGCGGATTTGTCCTTGAATTGCACTGTGATTGCTGCTATGATCAAAATGATCGATCAATTAGTTCAGGAGATAATGAGCTTTGTATTGAGTATCAATTGGAATTCATTTTCCGTTTATAAACTTGTCTTTTATTAGCTTAATTTTAATTTCGAATGTATTGTAAATGAATAGATGAGAATACTCTGTTTTAGTTCTTCTTGATGAAATCCTGAATGTTAACCCAAGTGTTGTTGCTTGAATTTTTCAAGATTTGTAAGTTATTCATCGTTGCAATGTCGTTTCAGGAATGTGCCAATTAGTGCAGGCTGTGAAGGGAGACATTGATGTTTTACTCAATGGAGTTGGAGATAAAGGTGTTATTGTAGATGTGAAACATATTCTTGTTATGGTATTGAATCCTGAAAAACTTTCACTGACATGTTAGTATTTAAGACTAGAGCCTTACAAGTTTATTGTTCGTCGTCGTTTTTATCCATCTGCCAAGATTTAAGAAGCTTGGATCTTCAAGTTTATAGAAAATTAAAGGGAAAAAATGCAGTCCCTTTTCTTCCCCTTTTATTTTGATGAAACTCATATAAAAAGTGGAAAGTGAGGGATGATTCTGGTTCTTCACTCTTTTTGGTTTCGTTTAGGCCAAACGTTCGTTATCGAGACGAGAAGTTCTCCATACAAACTTTCTCACTCCACCTGTGGTGAAAGAGTCGATGCTAGCCATTCAGAAACTAGCCGACGTTAAAGCAATAGCGCAGGGAGGATATCCAGAGGTGAAAATATAAAGGTCTTGTTATGTTTTTTCAGTTGGGGATTGTGTTTATGATTCTAAGATCTATTGCTGATACCACACTTCTTTCAAGTTGGCAAAATGTTTAGGCAGAGCGCTGTCGGATTTCTGTTGGGCATGCTGATGAACTAACAAGTGATCCAGACGTCGTTTCGGCATTGAGGTATTGTTCTTTATTCTTTCACATCAGTGCATTTTAATTGAGCTTTCGAGTAAAATCCGTTGTTCTTTGGTCGTTCCTTCCTTTTAAGGATTTTTTTTTTTTTTTTTTCCCTTCCCAGTATCACAGGAAATTTTGTGTTTCAGACCTGCACACATGGGGACTTCCTTGGAGCAATTCTTGGCACAGGCATTGCTAGGGAAAAGCTTGGTGATATCATACTCCAGGTATTAGTATGTCCGCTATTTAGTATAATTACAACTGCTTGTTCTTATTCTTACTGCACATTTGATGCGTCGTGCGTATTGCTATTGTTGGTTTCGCTTTATGGAATTGTTTTCTTATAAGGACTGTTCGAATTTGTAACTCAGTAAGTATCATAAATGCGTTTCACTTTGGTCATCTGTACATTAGTTTTATGCTGAGAAGGTAAAATTTTCTTTGGCAAATCCCAAAAATTGATGGTAAAATTGTGTTTTGGGTTATCATGCTCTTGCCGCCTCCTGACTATGTTCAGAATGTTGATCAAAACTGATAAAATTTATCTTTCAATCTCTCCTTGTGGAGCAAAACTTTTTGCAAAAGATTCAATTTAGGTTTGTGTAAATTTTTTAGGTTTTCAATAAAAGATTGTGATAAAGCTATCATGGGCCAGATTTATTTTATTCTCTTATACCTTGCAGGAAGAGAAGGGAGCTCAAGTAGTTATTGTTCCAGAACTCGTCGACTTCCTTGTATCATCGCTGCGCAAGGTAGTGTCGTTATCTTTGGCAGTTTTTTCTAACACGATGATACCGAAATTAACATAGAATGGAAATATGTTTTTTTTGAACTCTGACTGCATTTCTTGTGCATATGAAACCCTGCATGGTCTAATAGAGCAATTCAAACTATTTGTAAATTTGCTTCATTGATCTCTTTATATGTTTTGGCATTCTTAATTTCAGGTTGGCAATGTCACGGTTTCTTGTACGAGGATTCCATTGACAGATCTCGATTATGAACCACCGAAGTATGAAGTTATATCAATAACATTTCATATTGGTTTCCATGTTTATTTTAATGTAGTATTTTCTTATTTCATTTACAGGACTAAGACATTTAAAACCATTGAGGCATCTCTTAGGGTTGATGCTCTAGCAAGTGCTGGATTCAAGATTTCACGGTCTAAACTAGTGGATTTCATCAGGTACACAGGCTTCTACTAACCTATTAATTTTCCACATTGTGATAATTTCTAGCATGAAATGAATCAATTATCTATTTTTGTACATTATTGAACAAAAAATAATTTGTATTGCTCCTTCAGAATTTCATTTGTTCTTGGAAAGTATCATAATGATCCAAGAAAAGGGTTCGAGTTTTTTGAGCGATCAATTTGAAGAACTATTTTATAGGTTCCAAACCCGGAAAAGAATAGGGAAGACTTATGACAAAGTTTATGCATTGTTGAATCCTTACGCCATCGTGCTTCTCCCCTGTTACCTATTTTTACTAGCGGAATAGAGTTGACTTAATCCATAGGTTTACACCTTTTGCTCATTTGCCTGTTTGACTTTAATTACTCTGAAATTTTAGGCATCAGTTTAAAGTATAAGTAGATAGTTGAACGGTGCCATCATATGGTAATGTATAATAACAGACAACTTTGTCAAAGTTTCTAGGAATTAGGGTATGGCAATGTGTTATCTCCTATTTCTTTTGTGAAAGTATATGAACCTGAAATTGTTACATGAGCAGTGGCGGTGATGTACGTGTCAATTGGACGACGATTACTAAAAATGGAACCATACTAAAGACTGGTGATATTGTTTCTGTTAGTGGGAAAGGGAGACTAAAGGTGAAATTCTTAATTCAGTTGAAACCAAAACTAGTTGCACTGAAGTTTTTCGAGCTTTAGCATTTCTGACTTCGGGTTGTGTTCCTCGTATTCAGATTGGCGAAATAAATCCTACAAAGAAGGGAAAATTCGCCATCGAGCTTATCAAGTACGTGTAAGCTCTGGTGTATTGGATCGTTCGGAGTTGAACTGGGTAAAGATTGTCATGGAATCTCCCTCGAGGTCGAACATCAAGGAAGCATGAGAATAATTAAAGTAAGTCATTGTTCAACATGACATTAGTCTAATCTGTACATGTTAAAATCAGAACCCCCATTCATCCATTTGTAATTTATTAACCAAATAGACACAAAACTCAATGAGGATAAGATAATAGTCGTCGTTATTTTTCAAACCCTCAAATGAGAGAGGTCGAAAATCTTAAACTTCTGGTTTCAGGTAGTGATTTGAACACATTTGAATAGTTGTTCAAAGGAGTACCTAATGATCCAAACTGAAATTTGACGCTGAAATGGTGTATGGAGTACTTGAAAAGTGAATAACTGGCATTTTAGACTTTAAAGAACAATGGAAGAGAGGGATAAAAGTGTCTTGGTTTAGTGTTTAGGGTTAAAGTGTCGTATCAGTCTCACAGTTTTAAAACGTGTTAGGTCTCACAATTTATTACTTTGTTCTCCAGATGTGAGGTCTCACTTGTACAGAAACGATGAGCAACAACAACAAGGCTATTGTCAAATAATTTCAATCTACAAAATTTGCACTCGTATTTCAATCAATATTTACCTCTAATTATTGTCTTAATTTTCAAATATGATATTTACCTCTAATTATTGTCTTTATTTTAAATATGATACTTACAAATAGTTAATTTTCAAATATCAGCCTTCACGATTTTCATAAATTTTCATCAAAATAATAATTCAAAAAGAGATGTTTGTTTTCATTGTCCACAAATTTTGATATAAAGATATATATTTTTAGTTTCATCAGATTAGAGAGAGAAATTCTCAGAAGGTCCACATATACGCACCCAAATCGGCGGAACCCATAGTCCTCGAATCCTCCGGCGACGGAGCACCACCGCACCCATCCACGTCAGCGGCACCGGAGAGGAGATGAACCAGCGGCGGACTCACAGGGGAGAAGAACGGCGCCTGCAGATTCTCCTGGATGCTCCGAAGGTTCGGGAAGGCCGAGACGGAGAGATTATGACCACCACCAGCCGGGAAGCTTGCAGCGGGGTAGCTCAGGTTGTTGGTGGAGAAACAGGTCACGTGCAGCTGGTGCTCCCTTTGGTCGTCGAGAGAGCTGCCGTCGCGGTTGGCGAAGGCGGAGGTGCTGATACTGGTATCAGCAGCAGCAGAGAGGTAGGGAGATGAATCGAGAAGAGGAGGCAGAGACACCGAGGAAGGGGAAGTGGGTTCGGGATCACCGCGAGTTTTCTTCATCACGCCGCCGTGCATGGCGGCGCTGGTTTTCTTGAAAACTCTGGATATCACCCATTCATCCTGCGTTTCATATTTATTATATATATATATATATAGTTACAACATTAATTCTAAGGCAACCATATAGTCGCAACATTTTAATATTTAATATAAGGTTCGAAAATCATGAATGATATTTTACATGAGCGTTACTATTTAGTAAAGTTTACGTTAATAAATGTGATGCCAAACTTTATAATATGAACACCTAATTTCTTCTTTGCCTCCTATTTCATTCTTCATTTTCACAAAATTATCTATTAAAAAAAATGAAAAAACCACTAATAAATGGCTATTGGGGCGGGAATTGGGATCGAGATCAAGGATGGGGATAAGAAATAATCCTCATCCCCGCTCCCATTTAGCTAAAGAAAAAAATTTTCTCTTCACTCCCTCCCTCGCTCTCCATTTAAACGGAGATTTCCCACCTTGTTCGGGGACGGATACCAAAATAAATGAGAAGGGACATAAACATAAATTTCATTTATGAAATTATTATTATTCCCAAAATATTAAAACCTCTCCATTGAAATTGGTCCTCCATCGAAATAATGTGTATAAATTATAATAAATGTACTGAAATATTTATAATATATATAATAAATCTTTAATTATTTCACCTACTATAACATTATTTATTAATATATATATTAAAATAATTAATTTAAGGATCAACGTCGACGGCGACTGGTGGCCGCCGTCGTGTTCAACCAAAAACAAAGGAGAGAGAGAGAGAGGAAAAGAGAGGAACCTTGGAAGAGGCGGCGGAGAGAAAATGGTAGGCGAATTTTCCGGCGAGATGAAACTCATGCATAACCCAGTGGGTTTTTTGGCCTTTAGGAGCTCTGCCGGTGTAAAAGACGAGGGTCTTCTTCATCCCGACGACGGAGTTTGTTTTAGAGCTGGTTATTTCTCTGTCTTTTCCGGTGGCCTTCCAGTAGCCGGCCTCCGTCGCCCGGTTCGTTCTCAGGCCGGTTGGGTACTTCCGGTCTCGTAGGCTGAAGAAATACCACTCTTTCTCTCCCATTACTGCTTTCTCTGTAATTCCTCTCTCTTAGTAAGACTTTCTTTTTTTAATTACTATATTAAAAAATAATATATATATATATATATATATATATATAATTACTTTTATTTATTCATTTTTACGAATATTTTTAGAATTGCAGCTAAAATAAAGTAGTTTTTTTAAAAAATAAATTTGATTAATTAGATAAAAATCATGATAAAAAAAAGTAAGAAAAAAAATTAAATAGACTACAAAATGAAACTATAATTTTTAAAAATTTATTTTTATTTTTAAAATTTAAATATTTTCTCAAAAAATTTGCACAAACCATCCAAAATTTATTGCAATCTCGTCCTTTGAATCTTTTATTTTATCTACCATTAACGCTTTAAATTTTGAAATTTTACGATCACATCCTTAAATTGTTTTTATTATATTTCATAATTAACTTATTATAAGATTTGACGACTCTGCTGTTAAAATATAAATAATAAAAAAATAACTGTTTATCATTGAAAATTTAGGAAGAAAAAGCCTAGAAAGAGAATAAAATAGCTGACCAGGGAGGTCCCAAGGCTCGGACTTGTTGAGGTCGACATAGGCTATGGCGGGTGATGAGAAATGGGAGTCTAACACCTTCTTCAAAAGGTAATGAGCAATCAACTCTTCGTCGGTCGGGTGGAACCGGAACCCTGGCGCTAGGTACCCGTTGTTCGAGCTCCGGTGGACGCTGCTGTCCATGGTGGTTGATCGGAGTATAGCTAGAGAGAGAGAGAGGTTTAGGGAATTATTGATGAAGGGGAATGACAGAGAAATGAAGTTGATAATTCAACACTTTATACCCTAAAGTCTCCCTGATTTTATCCATTTATTTTTCAGATATATATATATATATATATATATATATATATATATAATGGCAAATACCGACCTATAAAATACGATAACAATCTCGTTTTGTAGGTTGTCTACGATAATGATTAGATCATAATGTAGATTAAGGTAGGACATTAAAAGTCAACGTCGGTCAACATAGGACATTAAAAATATGACATCTTAAAATTAACTTTTAATATCACGAAATTTTTCATTTTTTTTTTATTTTTCCATTTAGATTGGAAAATTGTCGTTTAAATAGGAAATGTGAGAGACGGGATAGAGATATCTCTCGTTGAGCTAAATGGGGATGAGGAGAGATTTTTTTTTTCTCCATCCTCGTCCTCGACCTTGCCAAATATCTGTCCTACTTCTCAGGTGAGCACGTGGATAAGAATATAATTTCGTTCTTAGTCCCATTTAACTAATAAGAAAAATTACTCCTTATTTTCTTTCCCATTCTTCGGTTTAAACGAAAATTTCTTATAAAATTCGGTACCAGTTATTACCTCTGCTGATTAAATGGATATCTTTTGTTCGGTAATCGATCCCGATTTTGTGAGAATATACATGACGGCCATAGACGGCTGACTTTTACTCTTATGCGGCTGTGCTGCGGCGCGTAATGGCTGAAGTTATCACCGGAGCTTTATTATTATTATTATTATTATTATTTATTTGAAATAAATGAGTCCGGATCAGATACAGCCCTGACTACTCTGTCCCGCAGATGAATTGTGTCATCATATGCATAATAACTGTACGGCTACGATCTTCAGATATTTCTGATCGTGGGGCCCAATAATAATTGGGAATTTCCTTTCAAAAAAAAAAAAAAAACCAGAATTTATTTCTGCATTATGATCAATTTCACAGCATCTTGTATGTGGTATCTAAATGCTTGTGTTTGGTCATGGAGATAGTGTACACCGAGTCTGGATTTCATGGTCCCTTATCCGGACTTGGGTTGAGCTATTAAACACGGACTTTGGTTCAATTTTGAGTATTAATCCTATTCTTTGATTTTTGTTGGGTTAGATCACAATTGAACCACTTATTTGGATTAAACTTTCGATCATGGTAGATTAGATCGAACCACTTTATGAATACGCACGACGTTAAATTTTTATGGAAGCTAGTTTTTGTTTTCTCAAATTTTGAACCTATCTTGAGATATTTGAAAAAAATTTAACCTAATTTATTGTATTAATTATCTAAAAATGTGTTCGAGTACGAACAAAGATTTGATTAAACATAGGGATAGAAAAATATTATTAAAAATTAATAATAATTTAGAAAAATTTGTGAAAACAAGAGGCGCCCATGGCCTAATGGATAAGGCATCTGACTTCTAATCAGGCGATTGTGGGTTCGAGTCCCACTGGGCGTGCGTATTATTTTTTTTGTGGTTCACTTTTAAAAGAAAAATATTGAATGTCTATAGAATCTTATTTCATAACTTAAAAGTACATAGCTAATTGAATCTTTGGTGGGAGCGCCCATGGCCTAATGGATAAGGCATCTGACTTCTAATTAGGTGATTGTGGGTTCGAGTCCCACTGGGCGTGTGTATTTTTTTTTTTCTAGGTGTATCAACATGCTCAATAACAGAGTAATTTATAATATAAGTTACTTTCAGTGAATGCATTATGTGTCAAGGAAATATGCATTATGTGTCAAGGAAATAAGTTACTTTCAGTGAATGCATTATGTGTCAAGGAAATATGCATTATGTGTCAAGGAAATAAGTTACTTTCAGTGAATGCATTATGTGTCAAGGAAATATGCATTATGTGTCAAGGAAATAAGTTACTTTCAGTGAATGCATTATGTGTCAAGGAAATATGCATTATGTGTCAAGGAAATAAGTTACTTTCAGTGAATGCATTATGTGTCAAGGAAATATGCATTATGTGTCAAGGAAATAAGTTACTTTCAGTGAATGCATTATGTGTCAAGGAAATATGCATTATGTGTCAAGGAAATAAGTTACTTTCAGTGAATGCATTATGTGTCAAGGAAATATGCATTATGTGTCAAGGAAATAAGTTACTTTCAGTGAATGCATTATGTGTCAAGGAAATATGCATTATGTGTCAAGGAAATAAGTTACTTTCAGTGAATGCATTATGTGTCAAGGAAATATGCATTATGTGTCAAGGAAATAAGTTACTTTCAGTGAATGCATTATGTGTCAAGGAAATATGCATTATGTGTCAAGGAAATAAGTTACTTTCAGTGAATGCATTATGTGTCAAGGAAATATGCATTATGTGTCAAGGAAATAAGTTACTTTCAGTGAATGCATTATGTGTCAAGGAAATATGCATTATGTGTCAAGGAAATAAGTTACTTTCAGTGAATGCATTATGTGTCAAGGAAATATGCATTATGTGTCAAGGAAATAAGTTACTTTCAGTGAATGCATTATGTGTCAAGGAAATATGCATTATGTGTCAAGGAAATAAGTTACTTTCAGTGAATGCATTATGTGTCAAGGAAATATGCATTATGTGTCAAGGAAATAAGTTACTTTCAGTGAATGCATTATGTGTCAAGGAAATATGCATTATGTGTCAAGGAAATAAGTTACTTTCAGTGAATGCATTATGTGTCAAGGAAAGTCTTTCTACTGACACACGTTAAGTCAGTATATCTTCTCTTGATCCATCTATACCAACAAAAACAAACCCGAAATAAACGTTCTATAGAGATATTTAATATCTCCTCGTTCAAATTTTCTCGACCCAAAAATAAAATGGATAGCGAGGGAGAAAAAGGGGGAGAAATAGAGATAGATAGAGGGTATTACATCATAACCTCTTTTTCCTATTTCTCTTAATTAGCTACACCATGGATCCTCCCTCCCAAAATGGCTCACCTTTTGATATCATCCAAACAAAGAGAGTTTGAAGAAACCCTAAACCAAGAACATTGAAATCAATGGAAGCATGCCATGACCTGAAATTTCTAATCTTTTCATCTCTAAAACTATGGCATGTTGCAGGCCATTAGGGTTCTTGATAGGCCTACCATTTGCCCTTCTTTCCTTATCTCTCTCCTTCATTGGTTCTCTTCTTTTCATCTTTTTGTAAGTTTCTTTTATTCTTCGTTATCGTTTAATTCTAACCCGTTTTTTCAATTTTTCCTTTCGATATCATGTCGAGAAACACAACCACGAACAAAAACAAACCCTAATTTTCTCGGAATGCATGCTCCTGTTCTTCGTCGTCTACGATTAGGGTTTTATCTTGCATTTTTGTTGGTTCGATCCGATTTTGATTAATGTTTGTATGGTTTTTGATGATTTGGGTAGGTCCATTTTGAGCTGCATTTGCCCTTGCTGTGTGTGTGTTGCAATACTTATAAGTTTCTCAATCACCCTTGTGAAGCTTCCCATCGATGTAATCATTTGGTTCACTGATATGATTCCTTTTTAGGGTTTTAGGCCAAATGAAAAGCTAATTCAATGGGAATATTGTTGAATGTTGTTGTAAAATGGGCGATGGAATGAAAAGATATGAGATTTTCTTTAGCTTTTTGGGAACTGTAACGAACGTAATGTGCTCGATTTGCACCTGATTCAACTGTAAATTTACAGCGGCTTATAAAATAAAGGAGACTGCATATCGGTGTCGAGCTTGTCACACGCACTTTAATACTCGAGGCAACGAGGTAAAAATGTAACAAGCTTTTAGGTTTAGAGAACGAGGATCGAATTACTTCTAATAACGTTATCATAAACTATTTATACGAGGGTTGACCCACGATTTCTCCCTAAAGACTCGGTGAGCTGTGAATTTGCAAAGTGCATGCCCTATAGGTCAGCTCGAGCCAAGGTGGGTTTTTGAGCTTCTTGGCCGAATATTTCGTTTATTTGAGCCCTATATAAATTAAATTAATTAAACAATCTAAATTACTAAAAAAAACGAATTAAATTAGAAATTTAGTCTATAAAATTTAATTTTTTTTAATCGTGTTCTAATTTAGTTTCAATAAATTTGAAAATTATCATCGATAATTTATTGAGTTATCCTTTCTATATATTTTACCCGTATGAAAATTACTATTATAAATTAATAAAATTAGATAATAATTACATAAAGTTAAAATTTAAGATTTATTAAATAAAAATTAATTAACTCGTCCCTATATTTTTGTTTATATATTTTGATAAAATTTTAATTTTTAAACAAATATTGACTAAATTTTAAAAACTATTTTTTAATTAAAAAAAAATAGAAACACGCGCCAAGAAGCCCACGGCCCACTGGCTCAGTCTCTCTGTATATGAGAAATTTCATCATGAAGTTCTCTTACTGAGAGTGAAAATATCACAAAAATATGAATGCAAATGTTGAAGCTCGACCTTCAGTTTTCATGGCGACTCGGGGAGATTTTACGAGAGCAGCCGGAAAGCTCTGTAAACGATTTCTAGGGTTCGTTTTCTAGATAGATCCGTATTGGTTATCAATTGGTGAGTTCCTTTCCCTACTGCTTTGTGGTAATGTTTGAATGCTCTCGTATTTGGTTCGTTGGAATGATAATTGGATGAAGTTTAGGATTCTTTGAGTTTTGCTCGACCGAATAGGTTTAGGACGTTGTTTGTGTTGTCGATTCTATTTGTGATTTTTGTCGTGCGATGTCCTCGGGATCTGTTTCTTCGTCATTGAAGCGGAGTGGTAATCGATCGAGAAAGAGGGTAGTCATCGAGGCTCTTTTTTCCAGTAGATTCTCCCTTGAGGTTTAATTCTGAATTTCTTTCTTTTTTATTTTGGAAATCTTTCTCCTAGACTCATTGAAGGAGGAAGATATACAAATATGGTGCAGAGAAATCAAAATGGGTATTAATCGATCTGGTTAAGAGTATTGATGATGCCGAACAGTTGAAATTATTAATACTCTTCAATGTCTGTTAGCTTTAGCTTCTTAAGATGGTTTAATTCTGAATTTCTTTCTTTTTTATTTTGGAAATCTTTCTCCTAGACTCATTGAAGGAGGAAGATATACAAATATGGTGCAGAGAAATCAAAATGGGTATTAATCGATCTGGTTAAGAGTATTGATGATGCCGAACAGTTGAAATTATTAATACTCTTCAATGTCTGTTAGCTTTAGCTTCTTAAGATGGTTTAATTCTGAATTTCTTTCTTTTTTATTTTGGAAATCTTTCTCCTAGACTCATTGAAGGAGGAAGATATACAAATATGGTGCAGAGAAATCAAAATGGGTATTAATCGATCTGGTTAAGAGTATTGATGATGCTGAACAGTTGAAATTATTAATACTCTTCAATGTCTGTTAGCTTTAGCTTCTTAAGATGGTTTAATTCTGAATTTCTTTCTTTTTTATTTTGGAAATCTTTCTCCTAGACTCATTGAAGGAGGAAGATATACAAATATGGTGCAGAGAAATCAAAATGGGTATTAATCGATCTGGTTAAGAGTATTGATGATGCTGAACAGTTGAAATTATTAATACTCTTCAATGTCTGTTAGCTTTAGCTTCTTAAGATGGTTACATGTATGTAATTATTAAAACTTGAATGGCCTTTATTTTTAATAAACTCGTACAGTTTATCCTGCTTCAGCTTCTATAGTTGTAATTTTGTTACTTTTGAGGACTAGGAGTTGCTCAGAGAACATGGAATTTGGTGATTGGAAAAGTATTTTTTCGGTGTAACTGTTGTTGAATGAGTTTATTAAGATGTAGTGACTGGTTTATATCAGCATAATCCTGTTAACTTGTGATATCTGTGACCCAATGAGTGATTACTGTGTAAATTTGATCCTTAGTATCTGTTATGTTGAACTTGCATCTGATTTGGGCATGAAATGGATAAGTAACGCCACTAATTTTCTTACTCTAAATTAGTGACATTACAAATGGTATCAAAACTAGATATCGGATGGTGTGCTAGTGAGAATGCTGAGCTTCGAAGGCAGGTAGATACCGGGCAGTATGCCAACGAGGACGCTGGGTCCCGAAGGAGGTGGATTGTGAGATCCCACATCGATTGGAGAGAGGAACGAGTGCCAGCAAGGACGCTACGTCCCGAAGAAGGATGTATTGTGAGATCTCACATCGATTGGAGAGGGAAACGAGTGCTAGCGAGTATGCTGGGTCTTGAAGGGGTGGATTGTGAGATCCCATATCAGTGAAGAGGGGAACGAAGCATTGGTGTGGAAATCTCTCTCTAGCAAACGCGTTTTAAAAATTGGAGAGGGAATGACCATGAAGTGAACGTTCACTCGTCTCCAAGCACAAGTGGCCTCTCGACTAACTCTGCGCTGGTATGTTCTTTTCAATGCTGCACTAGTTGTCTAAACATCCTCAATGGTTTGACAAAAAATATTCTTCTGAATGAATTTGGATCAAATCGGAATAACTGGACTGTGGAGGATCTTCAAATTTATTGTCTTTTGGGATGTAATCTTTTAGAGGAATTGTACTTACTGTATGAATTCCTTTGATTGAGCTGTCCTCAACGTTCGGAGCCTCAGTTAAAAGTTATAGGGCCCCTTTGTTTTAACAATATTACTGGAGTTGGATTATTTAGAACACTGGTTGGTGAAAGGTACTGCATGTCTTCTTCCATACTGTACGGGCTATGACTCAATTCAGATGTGACACCTTACCAGAAATGAATACGACAGCATGGACATGAGGACATGTCATATGAACATGACTTGATCATAGTGTGTTTAGTTGGCTAGAACATAGAGACCAGAGGTGGAGGCTAAACTAAAAAAACTCGATCAAATTGCTCAATTCAAGTCTAGATCAGTTCAGCTGGTTGTATATTCTTGCAGTCGACCACAATTGGTCGCCTTTGGTTTGGGTGTGTTCGCTTATCGTTTCAATTGAGTTGACCACGAGCTAGTACATCCCTGCCTCGAAGTTGGATTGAGCTACATCTTCATAGTCCATCCTCCATACGGTTAGTTCAAGAACTTTAGATTTGATTCCAACCACTCTTATAATCTTCTGATCAACATTTTTATTTTACATGTTTTTGTTAGTTCAAAAGCAAAGGTGCGACCACCACTGAAGGATGAATGAAAGCGGAGAACTATGGTACGAGATCACTTTACTAAATGTCTTATTGTAGTGAAGATAAACCTAAAGCCAAATGTAATTCCTGTGTCACTATGTACGCATGTCATACAAATAAGAACGGGACAAAGACAATGAGGTTTCATATCAGGAGTTATTGAAATAAAAGTCTTGTTGACATTATAAGAATGTTCGATGTGCAACTTTTAGTGTAGAGAATGCTACGAAATATCTAGTTATTGGGAGAACGTTAGGTGTGCAATTGGGGTGAATTGATCATTCTAGAAAGTTTGTAGAGAGGACCATCACTTTATTGGAATCTAAATTTGTTCTCCTTCTCGAACAACAATTGCTAACGACATTTTACCTATGAATGTCACTCAAAGACAATTTTCAAAGCACTTTTTGTTATTCTGTCATTATTCCATGAATCTTACCTTAATTAGGGTGTTGGGCTTATAAAAACATGTTTGATAAAATTCACTTTTCAACCTATATTATTATTTTTGTTTTAAATTACTATATGTATATGTTTATTTATTATGCCAAACAACCACCGATCATATCCTTTCAATAATGACGCTCGTCTAAAGTGTCTAGAACGTGTACAATAATTATTGACATACCTCATTATCCAAATCAAAGGGTTTGTGTCCGTAAAAAAAGATTGCTCTGGATTTTGTTGATGACATCTTAGTTTAAATTATTAAGCTTATATAAATTATTTTATATATGACATCGTTACATTTATGATGCATGCCCCACCTAACCACTACGCCCCACCTAATTTTTCCTTTTAACTTATATGACCGTGTGTAATAGCCCAAGTATGAGGTCATCACTATCAAATTATCTGCCTTAACCCGTTACCTATTGTCGTTAATCTCATGATTTTAAAATCTGTAGAGATTTTCACACCATCATAGACATAACTAATTTATAATTTAATCCGAGAGATTTTCACCCTATTATTGACATAACTAATTTATAATTTAATCGGAAAAAAGTATATATCCTGTCATGGGACCACGTGCAAGTTGTGGCATTTATATTTCCCCTGCCATTCCACAAATCACAAACGGCACGAACAAACAAAATGGCAGAAACCCAATCATCAAAGCTCCATATTGCCATGTTCCCATGGTTTGCCGCCGGCCACATGACTCCATTTCTTCATATCTCCAACGAGCTCGCCGCCAGAGGCCACAAAATCACCTTCCTTTTGCCCTCCAAAGCGCTCCCTCTTTTACAAAATCTAAATCTTCACCCAAATCTCATCTCCTTCCATTTCTTGACGGTTCCCCATGTCTCCGGCCTCCCTCCGGCGACGGAAACCGCCTCTGATATACCAATTTCTCTTACCCCCTTGCTCGCCTCTGCTTTCGACATGACTCGGCAGCAGGTGGCGGAGATCCTCTGTTCTGCCTGCCCTGATGTCGTTTTCTATGATTTTGCGTATTGGGTCCCTGAAATCGCTGCGCCGCTGCGGATCAAATCGGTTAGTTTTACTGTTGTCAGTGCTGCGTCGATTGCTGTTATTGCTTATCCGAGAAGAAGGGTGACCGTTGATGACCCGATTACGGAGGAGGAGCTTAGGAAGCCGCCGCCTGGTTACCCGTCGTCCACCGTCGTCCTCCGTGGCTGCCGTGAAGAGCGGTCGCTGCTCTTCTTGTCCATGCCGTTCGGCGAAGGTATTTGTTCCTAATTTTTAATGGGTAAAATTATATACCTTTGATCTTTTATTAAATTTAGTTTTAGTTTAATTCGACTTTTAAAATTTAAAATGGGTTTCATGGGTTTCAAATTTGGTTCCTTTGTACAAAAAAAAAAAAAAAAAAAAAAAAAAAAAAAAAAAAAAAAAAAAAAAAAA